GGGAAAAGCATTAAGTTGGAATAATGGCATGAGCAGACCAAGAATGAATGACGGAAAGAGTGGACAACCGGTGAGCAGTGCATCAGTTTTATAGGTTGGAGCATGCGTGAATGACCTTGGATCAGGATGTGCCTGCCCGCACCCTCTCCCTCGATGAACATCACCCGTACATTCCGTTCACTGCAAAGCCAACTCCTAAATTACCCATTTTCCTGAGCAATGGTCACATTTTTTACAACGTTCGGCCGCAGCACGTCCCGGAAGAACGAAGACACCTCTGAACAGGCCCAGTAACCCTCAGCAACCAGCTGCCTCATTAGTGACTTCGCGCATTGCACAGCAGCAGTAGCAACTGGTACAACTTATCTCATCCACTATGACCAAGAAGATGCCAGAAGACAGAACCCTGCAGTGCTCGCGCATAATCGCCTGCAGCATTCAAATTCACTCAGCCATGCATCCGCTGATCACGCCTCACACTCCTACAACCCCACTGCATTACCTTTTTGGTCATAGCGACGATATGCCAGCCAGTAGCCCTTCGACAGGCAGCTGACCACATGGTGGCTCACTTCTTGACCTAGGCAAGCAGACCAATCACTGAACTTCTTCCAAGCCCACACAACTGCCAGTGCTCTGCGCATGCGCATTCAGGCACTCCGTGCCTAATGCCTTTACATCATCTTCTTATCCAGCAAGAGCAGACCGCGGTGAAAACGGTGAGGCATAGTTAGAGTGAAGTTCAAAGCATCACTGTTCTGGAGTACCAATGTGAGAAACATTGCGGGGCCAATTTGCTTGCGGCACTTCCAGCTTGAAAAACAATCCGAAGTAGTAGCAGCTAGTCCTTATATTGAAAGAACCCATGTTAGCATTTTTGATCATTTGCTGCTATATTTTTCTTAACAATTTCTTTCAAAAGCCGCATGATGCCCAGCCAAAGCTATCAAACGTTTTTTCAGTGCAGAAGCAGACAAGCCAGCAAGGGAGACTGGCTTCTCTGGGACGCTCCTAGAGCTGCTTTGAGACTAAAATATGATACGCTGCGTTGTGAATCCTCGGAAACTGCGCCTGTACTCGATTTTGTTGCTCATCGAAAAGCTCTGTCAGGCGACCAGCAATAGTCATCATGAGCAAACTGTAAATGTGAGGGAGGTAAGGGAGGTCGTCAAATCATTCCCTCACAGCTTTTTGTTCTGCATATGAAAGTGGTTTTCCTCCCTAACCGTTCTCACAGCCAGATGCTGCCTAAACGAAACCGCAAGCTTGTAGTCTCCGATGATGCGTTCAGTAGCCAGCTCTGGAGCTTCGTGCCTCAAACAATGTCATCCACATCCCTTCTTCTGTTGCTCCAATAACATTTTTGGCATGACAGTCTAGCGCCTTACTGATTTGATTTGAAGCTGGCCAACGTCTCAGCACAGCAACTTCCTAGCGTTTTGGCAAAATTTCGCGCGACTTTTCGGCCGAATTTAGAGCTCCCTACCTCAGTGTTTGCCAGTGTACGGATGACTCCATGACAACAAAAGAAGGTAGACGACCAAGACCCCACAGTCTGGTTGCGTCAGTTACAATTAAAGGCGCGCTTCTAACAGATGCTCAGCATGCGGATTCTTGAAAACAAGGATGCGGTGCAATGCAGCAGCTCCTTATGCAAGAAACGGGATGAGTGCATTAAATTAGAATGTGTATGGTCAATTTAAATGCTTCGGAAGCATATCCAAAGATTTCCCCCACTCATTGATGATTCTCTTAATGTGCATCCAGCAACTACTAATGGTGTCTGCCCACTACTTTGTATCCGCAGCGCTCTGATTTCCGTGGATCTGAAATTTCAACGCCACAATTTAGCCTAAAAACATTGCTACATTATATCCCATCTCCAACGGCACATTAGAGGGGGGATGCAACACGAGGCGGTGTAAAGTGATGGTGTCCAGCAGTTGTACAAGTCTTGAATCTTCCACTGTTCAGGATGCTTAAGTTTTCTCACAATAGCTATCGGATATCACTGTCTCCAGGGAATGAGGGCCCGAAATATTTGGGCTGAAAACAAAAATTCGAAAGACGAAACAGGAAATGAACATTGTGTTGAAGCCGTTTGCTGAAATGGGGAACGGAGCTCCGTGAGTGTAACAGCATCCTTGCCGCCATGTTCATTATAAAAAAAAGCAGGAGAAAAGGTCGGTAAACTTCAAAGCTCAGAGGGAAGCATTAGCGAGGGGAGCAGCGGCTACTGAGTAAATGAGTAACAAGTTCTAAAATTAAAAAACACAGCAATGATTGAGAGGGCAAGGTTAAAGAAGAGGCAAAATGAGAACTCAACTTTCCCTACGATAACGAATTTCGTGCCTCACATCCAGTGGTTTGTCTAGGTAAACATCGACTTCTTCCCAACTCTCCCTCCCTCTTTCATTCTCCCCTTCGCTCATCTAGCATTTGCCTACATCTCCAAACAGTCCCGGTCAAAAAATGTTAAAATCCTCCTGCTGCATGCTAGAACAGCATTTTTGGGCGTTTCCTTTCCCGAAGCCTTATGCACTCTCCCACTGTGAAATCGGATGGGTACTTGGCGGGAAAAGAAATTACTTTGAAAAACGTGTGCAAGGCACATGCAGAGATATATGTGAAAAAGAGGAAAAAGCAGAAGCAGTCAGTTGTTGAAAACGCAACAGCTCATTTGATTCAAACCACCTGAAAGAGGAAGTCTTTAAGCCAAAACTGCGAATGCGCCTCGAACGAGAATGGATTCGGGATGGAAAGGATACTTTGTTTCCCGTTGAAATAGCCGCAAGCCTGGCCTTTTCCAGTTTATTTCCCTTGTAAACAATCAGCAATTCAAATAGCAAACAACCAAACAAATCAAAGGGATCGGGAGTAACGTTTCGGAGAAGTGAACTCGAACAAGATCTCCAATTAGGGGCTGGACGGATAGACAGATGGACGGACGGAGAATGAATGGATGATGGGTGGAGGCGAGGCCGGGCCATCCCTCAGCTA